ATATGTTTGAAACATCACACTATGGGAGGGCCTTTCAATGTCCTAACTGGTACCAAAGACTAGAGACAAACAAATTGTAACTTGTTGCTTTTGTATTGGTACTGGGGAGGTAGATCTTCCCTAGTGACTCAAGTTCATCAGAGATAATAAGATCCTCTCACAAAAGGAACCTGAAAGGAATGGGAGGGTTCTGATAGCTTTCAAATGAAGTTTGGGTCAGTGCTGCCCGGTGAGATAGAGGCTGTCATGGTACTGTGGTGATCATAAAGTCCTCTCCCCTTTCAGAGGTATGGTGAGATACTGGTACTGGAGCACGGATAGTAGCCCTGTGTGTCTTGCAGTGACACATTGTGTCAGATGGTGCTGCTGCGGTAGTTGCTCTGAGAGTGGGAGCTATGTCCAAACAGGATTTCTTCTGCAATATGGACACCTCAGTACTGGAGTCGGTTATAATAATAATATATGGAGATATACCTATCTCATAGAACTTGAAGGGACCTTGAAGGTCATCGAGTCCAGTCCCCTGCCTTCTCTAGCAGGACCAAATATCATAGAATATCAGGGTTGGAAGGGACTTCAGGAGGTCATCTAGTCCAACCCCCTGCTCAAAGCAGGACCAATTCCCAACTAAATCATCCCAGCCAGGACTTTGTCAAGCCTGACCTTAAAAACCTCTAAGGAAGGAGATTCCACCACCTCCCTAGGTAACCCATTCCAGTGCTTCACCACCCTCCTAGTGAAAAAGCTTTCCTAATATCCAACCTAAACCTCCCCAACTGCAACTTGAGACCATTACTCCTTGTTCTGTCATCAGGTACCACTAAGAACAGTCTAGATCCATCCTCTTTGGAACCCCCTTTCAGATAGTTGAAAGCAGCTATCAAATCCCCCCTCATTCTTCTCTTCTGCAGACTAAACAATCCCAGTTCCCTCAGCCTCTCCTCATGTGCTCCAGCCCCCTAATCATTTTTGTTGCCCTCCGCTGGACTCTCTCCAATTTTTCCACATCCTTCTTGTAGTGTGAGGCCCAAAACTGGACACAGTACTCCAGATGAGGCCTCACCAATGCAGAATAGAGGGGAATGATCACGTCCCTCGATCTGCTGGCAATGCCCCTACTTATACATCCCAAAATGTACTGTCCTAGACTTTTTTTTTTTGCCCCAGATCCCTAAATGGCCCCCTCAAGGATTGAACTCACAATCCTGAGTTTAGCAGGCCAATGCTCAAACCACTGAGCTATCCCTCCCCCCAGTTGGAGCCTCTACTGTACCCATAAAGAGATGAGGTCTCCTGACAATGATCATCCCATCAGATTCAGTCCCTTTTCTTTGTTTCCTTGAGTGGAGAGGTATTTCCCTTTTTCTTATTGGCTAGTGCTGCAGATGAAGTAGCAACTGGGACCAAGGCAGCCTGTGCTGTAGAGGCCACTGTATAGGAGCTTAAGTCTAGTCTCTCTCTTTCTTGGATCTGCCATTGAAATCCAGACCGACCTTGTGATTTCCCCCAAACACTGCAGGCAACTAGAGTGTTCATCACTGTGGGGAAAGAACCTGTGGTAAGTCTCACAGGTCTTATAGCCCAAGGTCTTGGGCATGACAAAGTGTGCTTTGACATAAAAGATCAAAGAAAGAGGAGGGGAAGGAGGACCCCAACCAGTACAGTGCTAAATAAAGATGTAAACTGAAATAGTAGGTTTTTTTTTTTCTAAGCCCAATAAAGAATTCAAAGTGAAGGTGAGAAGCTGAATACAGTAGAAGGAACTGAGGTGCAGTGGGTTCACATCTCCCTTTATGCCCTTGTTCTGAGGATAAGGTGCTGCTCTGCATAGGCATGCTCCTACAGACACTACTTTGCAGTCTCCGACTGAGATCACAAGGGTGTGCACAAAGTGTACAGTGGACCACCCATACTGACATACTCCAAAAAAACTTTTTCCTTAACTTCCCTTTTATTACAGCAGCTCCTCTCCAATAAATAGTAAAGTTACATAGAGAAGTGATAGATGCTGCTGTGATTCTTCTACATAATGAAGTAGCTTTCACTCTCAAATACTGTGACTGAAGATTGTAGAGTACAGTGATAATCCGAAACAATATAATATCAAAGTCAAAGATGGAAGAAAAGCACATGATCACACCACAGGAGTGTGGGCTTCAACAGCTGAACTAGTTCCATAACCTCCCTGCCTCAATTTCTCCATCTGTAAAGTGGGGGGCAATTCTTCTGCTTATAGCAGTGATAAGATGTAGTGCTTAACTGGTTGGTATTAAATATAAAACAACTCCTATGTAGTATGAGACAGTTCCTTCCCCTGTATGCCTGTTGTGCTGACTTGGGCCTTTCTAAGAAAACATGTTAACTGGATAAACAGTAGCAGTTCCCTCTACCACCTTGAAGGAGTTAAGATTTTGCTAGGAGCTAGTAGACATTGGAAAATGTTAAATTTTAGAAATAGTCACAGATGATAGTAAAAAAAAAATACTGAGGTAACTAGATCAAACACTATGAATTCTGCCCATCATATAGCAATTGTTCCATGGGTGCTGGGCCACTTCACCACCATGAAAATGTTATCAAGCAAGACATTAAGTTTTCACTACATTATACCTTTCTTCCTTAAAAGAAAGCCCAACAAACTATGACATCAGTAATTACGAGGTGAGAAAATGGAAGTTTAGCAAAAACAGACTCAAGCCATTGGAACGGGTAGTTATAGTCAGGTAGCAAGGCCTATACAGTAGGCACTGGAAAGTTTATGGCACATTCAAATTGGACACTTCAAAGAATAAGACTCAAGAGATTCAGGCGCTAGTATTTAAAAGAATGTATTAAATGGAACAATCAATCAAACTTACCAGGAGTCTGTAATTGAACAGTGTTCTAAGAATAATGCAGGATCTGCTAGAAGTCCACCAAAATAACTAGTTAAGCAGAGTTTTCCTTCAAAATAAGGTGGCATTAAAATAAGCATTTTAAAATGGGCAAACAAGGGAGAAAAAGAAATAAGACGTAATTCACTATGCTACATTAACAAAATAGACAAAGTACACCAGAAAGGACATTGTAAAAGCAGAGGCAGAAGAGCTAAATCCAGAAAGGGATTTGGGTGCCCAGTGTTATGACACCTAACTTTTAGGTGCCCTGTTGTCCAATGGAATCCTCAGCCCAACGTAAGTGTCCAGGCTCCTCATACAATGCATGGGGTGAGTTAGGCACTTAAGAATGGGATTCACAGAAGCCAGCATGCTGAGTGGGGAGCTGCTTGAAGCTCCCCCCTTCAAGGGAGTCAGGTGCCTATCTCTGCTTGGGGATTCACAGCTGTGAACCTCTTCTTGGAGTTGGGGCTAACCTGATACACATGCCTTTCTCAAAAAGTAGACACCCTCCCATCCCCTTCTAGCTACAGCAGTTAGGCACTCAGTTCAGAGATAGGGGACCTGTTTCAAGGTCCCTCCCCCCTCCCTGCTTGATTTGGAGCAGGGACATGCACTTGGGTCTCCCATATCCCACATGACTGCCCTAACCACCAGCTATAGTCTCTTTCTCTCTGGCCCAATTAATATTTATACAAAGTGGAACAGCTTCCACAGGGGACAGACAAAGACCCATCTGTGAATATCCCATAGCCTGAGGGGGGGTTAGGGCACTCAACTGGGATGTGGGAGGTCCAAGTTCCTGCTCTAAATCAAGCATACTGTGAATTTGAAAACAGGTCTCCCACCTCCCAGTAGAGTGCCCTAATCACTCTTGGGTATTCTAACACACACACACACACACAGCAATCTGGATGGCCCCAGCTCTCTTTTGTGGGAAGTGCGATCTGGTTAATGTGCTGAATCACTGGATGCAGCCCTGCACCTGAAAATTGGGAAAGACCTAGTTTGTGAATTTTGCTGGGTCTTAGGCATGAGTTAGGGGGTCAAGCAGCTCGGCTGGGTCAGAACTTAAGTGGTTTTGAACATGCTCATTCGTGGGAATTTAGGCCCCTACAGGCTTAGGGAGCAGCTGAGTGGAGTTCTGAGGATCATCTGGGCACCTAACTGTTGGACTTAGGTTCCTAAATTCCTGTGTAGATCTAGCCCAATTCCTCTCTACTCCTGTCTGCTGAGAGAGGAATTGGAGCGTGCATTTAAGCTCTTCAATACACATGGCCCATAGATAAGTCTTTACTAAACACCCAAAATACTGGTATGATGAGAGCATGTTCTATAAGGAGAAATGAAAAGCTTGCTACAGTAGGTACTAAGAACAGAGAACAGTTTATAAATGCTAGATATTTCCAGGTGGTTACTAAGTCATTAAAATTCTGAATCATGCTGTAAGACAATGAAAAATATGCCCAGAAAAGCTGAACAACTTTGGGAGACGTTGCTCTAAAGAAGGACTATGGTAACCCTCGAGACTACTACGTTAGAACTAGGTGAGCAATCTTGAGAGCCATAAATAAGCCATTTCATATATGAGACATAATGTGCTAACATTAATTACTTTAAAAACTCTTAGGTCACTATCATTTTGTTCCTTTATGTTCCCCTCTCATTTGATAAGGAGCTAGAAGGCAGTTCTTTGATAAGACAATTGAGCTTATCCATCTCATTGCCTCCCATCCTTCTGTGACAAATCCATAAAGGGAGTACCATTTTTCCTATCCCAAGATTGTCAGAACAGAAATCAGGCTCTGTACTACTTCATGGCAGGAAGCAGTAGTGTGGATCGTTCACGTGTGCCTCAATCTTTATGTTCTGCCTCATGTACAGAGTAATAAAGTGAAAATGTCAAGATCCCCAAACTGCAATCCTGTCCTTGATGCTGGACCTGTCATTTCGCTTTGGAGCTTTGAAACCCACACTCCTCAGTTGATATAAATGAGGTAACCCACAACTTACTGCCTTGTACAAGTATGAAGGAAAAGCATCCACAAATTAAACAAAAGCGTTTTCTTTCAGATGCAAGATAAACAAAACAAATATTTATTTTAACATTCTTCTTCTTCCATATTTATGAAAACAGCTCTGAACAAAAAACCACACCTGAGTATTTCAGGCATTCCACACAATTACTGTATGTAGAAAGAACAAGATGAGGCAAATTAACATGCCAGAACAAAATTAAAAAACAAAACCAAAAACCACCTTTCCTCTTCGGATACTGTAGTCTTCATCAAAAGCTCTCTATATAGTATCCCTGGAAACACAAAAACTAGTGTCAAATTTAGATAATAAAACAGCTACTTCCTCCTTATCTGGTAGGCTCCTTAACTAAGGAGTCTAAACTACTAGCAGGTACAGAAAGAACAGTCCATACTGCCTCATTAATACATTGTGCACTGGTGTAGATTCCCTCTGCTTTCACTAATTACTATAAAGGTAATCATAGGACAACATATTACAATATATAAGACTATAAAGACAAGAATGACTGGTTTAGTCACCATAATTAACCAGTGAAGCAAACTAACAAGCAAAGAAAGACTGTAATAGGAAATATGCCACCATGCACCAAGGCATATCATGTAACAAGATTTTGAAATGAATGTTTTATCTATCAATGTTTAACAGAAAAAGTATCTTACTAGCTATGGGGAAAAAGTCTGCCCAGAATATGGGAGCTGAAGAGGTTCTAGTGGAGGAAGCAGCTTGGTTCTTGCAGATGCAACCTGTCACTACTGTTTGTATAGAGAATACTGTAATATTGCCAGTCAGTTGCAATTTCACCTTTTTCTTCAGTGATTATCTGGATTACAAGCAGGCTATAAAAGTCTCTCTTTCCTCTGTACGCTGGTTGAACTTAATTGCTTGTTCCAGTCCTTGTTGGCTCTCAAACTAGACCCTAGACTTCAGGTCAGGTTTAAGCAAACAGACAAGGATTTGCTCCTCAAAAGAACCAAGAGCTGCTTTTGACTGTGTGAAAGCAGGCAGTACGGACTGTGTAGCTAGCATCTGATCACAAGAATATACAGTTGTCCTGCAGTGGATTTTTTTCTATATTATATGCATTTTGTTTACATATTTATTATAAAATAACTATTTGTCATTTACATTAACACCCAAAAGGTATAAAAAACGCTAGTTCTGGTCAGATGATTATTTAAAAAAAACAACAATTGAGCTCATGGCCTAATAAATATTAGATTTTAAAAATCTTACTTTTTGTAATTGCCTAAAGTGACACTTCAAGTTTACTGTACTTACATATGTCATTGATCTAAGTCTGCTAATCCCATTTCTACCAGCTTCATGTGAACTAAGCATCGTTCATCTTCATACAAAAACACAGTGTTCTCTGGAGACTGAGTCTGGAAATCAGAAATTTTCAGTAGTACAGAAAGATCTGTTTCAAGTAGTAAGAGTTGACTGAATGCTGCAATTATTCTTCTACATCTATACTGCAGTAATGTCTAGAGGCCAACCAGGCTGAAGCTCTATTGGGCTAGGTACTGTATATATGGAAAAGGGCAGTCCCTGTCCCAAACAACTTATAGTCTAAAAGACAAGACACACCAGGTGGATGAGATAAACAAGAGGGCTGGGGTAGAAAAGACAGTTGCAAAAATAAGTGAATCATTAGTTTAATTCCATTACGTAGAAAAAAAATGGCAATGATGCTAAACTTAAAATTTGATGATAGGAATTAAACAAAAAAGGAAAAAAACCCTTAGTTATCTAATCTGTTAATTTGAGAGTGAACATAAAATAGTGACGAATATGACAGTACTGCGTGAACTAAGCCTGATCTCTATTACAAGTTTTTTTTTTTAAGTCAATGTAAGTTTTCACTTTGCGTATATGATGAAAGTTACAATGTTTTGGAAGGAAATTTTTTAGGTAAATGCTAAACTGAGGATAACGACTGTAGAACACAAATGGCTATTCGGAAATTAAAATTTGTTGTTTTATGTTAAATAGCATATTCCCACATAAAATTGTTAACTGATAGTAGTAAGGTTCCTTCAGTGACTAATGCAACCTGTAGCCAAACTACCCAGTAAGAATTTTTTTTTTAAACCACTTGACATTAAAAATACTGAAGTAACTTGAGGTGGTTTTATACAAATATTCCATTACCTTTAGATTTCAGAAAATTGGTTAATGACAATGTTAACAGTTTACAAACATCCCAAACTCAGATCCACAAGGCATACAAGTTTTCAATAAATAGAGTAGCCAGAATTCAGAGCGTGTTGAAGGTAAGTGGAAGAAACAAAGAAAAGGGGGCAGGTGGAGGAGGCAGACAGGAGGGAAAAAGATTGAAAGTAATGTTGGTGTGGATGGATACAGCTTGCTCAGGAAGGATAGACAGGGGAAAAAGGGAGGAGGTGTTGCCTTATATATTAAAAATGTACACACTTGGACTGAGGTAGAGATGGACATAGGAGACGGAAGTGTTGAGAGTCTCTGGGTTAGGCTAAAAGGGGTAAAAAACAAGGGTGATGTCATGCTAGGAGTCTACTACAGGCCACCTAACCAGGTGGAAGAGGTGGATGAGGCTTTTTTTAAACAACTAACAAAATCATCCAAAGCCCAAGATTTGGTGGTGATGGGGGACTTCAACTATCCGGATATATGTTGGGAAAATAACACAGCGGGGCACAGACTATCCAACAAATTCTTGGACTGCATTGCAGACAACTTTTTATTTCAGAAGGTTGAAAAAGCTACTAGGGGTGAAGCTGTTCTAGACTTGACTTTAACAAATAGGAAGGAACTCGTTGAGAATTTGAAAGTAGAAGGCAGCTTGGGTGAAAGTGATCATGAAATCATAGAGTTTGCAATTCTAAGGAAGGGTAGAAGGGAGAACAGCAAAATAGAGACAATGGATTTCAGGAAGGCGGATTTTGGTAAGCTCAGAGAGCTGATAGGTAAGGTCCCATGGGAATCAAGACTGAGGGGAAAAACAACTGAGGAGAGTTGGCAGTTTTTCAAAGGGACACTATTAAGGGCCCAAAAGCAAGCTATTCCGCTGGTTAGGAAAGATAGAAAATGTGGCAAAAGACCACCTTGGCTTAACCACGAGATCTTGCATGATCTAAAAAATAAAAAGGAGTCATATAAAAAATGGAAACTAGGACAGATTACAAAGGATGAATATAGGCAAACAACACAGGAATGCAGGGGCAAGATTAGAAAGGCAAAGGCACAAAATGAGCTCAAACTAGCTAAGGGAATAAAGGGGAACAAGAAGACTTTTTATCAATACATTAGAAGCAAGAGGAAGACCAAAGACAGGGTAGGCCTACTGCTTAGTGAAGAGGGAGAAACAGTAACAGGAAACTTGGAAATGGCAGAGATGCTTAATGACTTCTTTGTTTCGGTCTTCACCGAGAAGTCTGAAGGAATGCCTAACCTAGTGAATGCTAATGGGAAGGGGGTAGGTTTAGCAGATAAAATAAAAAAAGAACAAGTTAAAAATCACTTAGAAAAGTTAGATGCCTGCAAGTCACCAGGGCCTGATGAAATGCATCCTAGAATACTCAAGGAGCTAACAGAGGAGGTATCTGAGCCTCTAGCTATTATCTTTGGAAAATCATGGGAGACGGGAGAGTTTCCAGAAGACTGGAAAAGGGCAAATATAGTGCCCATCTATAAAAAGGGAAATAAAAACAACCCAGGAAACTACAGACCAGTTAGTTTAACTTCTGTGCCAGGGAAGATAATGGAGCAAGTAATTAAGGAAATCATCTGCAAACACTTGGAAGGTGGTAAGGTGATAGGGAACAGCCAGCATGGATTTGTAAAGAACAAATCATGTCAAACCAATCTGATAGCTTTCTTTGATAGGATAACGAGTCTTGTGGATAAGGGAGCAGCTGTGGATGTGGTATACCTAGACTTTAGTAAGGCATTTGATACGGTCTCGCATGATATTCTTATCGACAAACTAGGCAAATACAATTTAGATGGGGCTACTATAAGGTGGGTGCATAACTGGCTGGATAACCGTACTCAGAGAGTTGTTATTAATGGTTCCCAATCCTGCTGGAAAGGCATAACGAGTGGGGTTCCGCAGGGGTCTGTTTTGGGACCGGCTCTGTTCAATATCTTCATTAACGACTTAGATATTGGTATAGAAAGTACGCTTATTAAGTTTGCGGATGATACCAAACTGGGAGGGATTGCAACTGCTTTGGAGGACAGGGTCATAATTCAAAATGATCTGGACAAATTGGAGAAATGGTCTGAGTTAAACAGGATGAAGTTTAACAAAGACAAATGCAAAGTGCTCCACTTAGGAAGAAAAAATCAGTTTCACACATACAGAATGGGAAGAGACTGTCTAGGAAGGAGTACGGCAGAAAGGGATCTAGGGGTTATAGTGGACCACAAGCTAAATATGAGTCAACAGTGTGATGCTGTTGCAAAAAAAGCAAACGTGATTCTGGGATGTATTAACAGGTGTGTTGTGAGCAAGACATGAGAAGTCATTCTTCCGCTCTACTCTGCTCTGGTTAGGCCTCAGCTGGAGTATTGTGTCCGGTTCTGGGCACCGCATTTCAAGAAAGATGTGGAGAAATTGGAAAGGGTCCAGAGAAGAGCAACAAGAATGATTAAAGGTCTTGAGAACATGACCTATGAAGGAAGGCTGAAAGAATTGGGTTTGTTTAGTTTGGAAAAGAGAAGACTGAGAGGGGACATGATAGCAGTTTTCAGGTATCTAAAAGGGTGTCATAAGGAGGAGGGAGAAAACTTGTTCACCTTAGCCTCTGAGGATAGAACAAGAAGCAATGGGCTTAAACTGCAGCAAGGGAGGTCTAGGTTGGACATTAGGAAAAAGTTCTTAACTGTCAGGGTGGTTAAACACTGGAATAAATTGCCTAGGGAGGTTGTGGAATCTCCATCTCTGGAGATATTTAAGAGTAGGTTAGATAAATGTCTATCAGGGATGGTCTAGACAGTATTTGGTCCTGCCATGCGGGCAGGGGACTGGACTCGATGACCTCTCGAGGTCCCTTCCAGTCCTAGAATCTATGAATCTATGTGGGAGGGTTGCATGAGTTTGCATGTGTCAGTGGCTATCCAATGGATAGGGACAGAGAATAAAATGACTGACGGAGAGGCAGCTCAACCCCCCCCCAAAAACCTAGATTTTTATTATGCACTTCCTTGATCTTCCCATCAAAGTGACCCCTACAATCCCCTGTGATAAATGTGTCACATTTTCACTTTGAATATCTGGGTACCTTAACAGGAGAACGAGGAGGAATGTTAGGGCACAGCGGAAAGGCAAGGAGAAGTGGGGGAGGGAGGGAAGGAGGCAGTACATTTTTAGTACTTATAGACCTATTGTTTATTTTGGGCACCGGACACCGCTAACCCAAATGGAAATGTGAAGCATAAAAGCAAGAATGATAGTTTCTAGTGGAAGAGTAATAAAGGAGGTTAAAATCATGCAGGCAGGAGGGCTTGGGAAGTGGGCTGTCTGTAATACAGTGAAGAAAATTCCTATGCACTTGATCCTCTGCCTTTAATGTTGTGATGCTTCTGAAAAAATGGTTTTGAGTCTAATTTTTTTAAACCAAAGAACAAGATTCACAATAAATCTTGTATAAGGTTCAGACATTTCATTGAAAATGTTAAAAACCAAGATAACTCATGTTTGGCAGGAAATAAAAGGAAAAACTTACCACTGTGGAAGCATAGAGCTTTTTGCCTTGAAGACAGTCCATCATGGCCCATAATGCTTGCATGCTCCATTCAGGGCAATATGGAATTCTCTTTTTTTCTGTATCATATAAAGGAGGTTTAAATCCAGCCAATAGAACTTTTACTGCTTGAACAGGATATTGCATAAGGTGAGAAGGAATCTGACGTAATCTAAATCAAAATGAAAATCCTTGTCTAAAAACATGCAAGACAACAATGCAATAGTTAATCACTACCTAGAACTAAAATATGTTAATGAGGGATAGCTCAATGATTAGGGAACTAGCCTAGGATTTGGGAGACCTGGGTCCAAGTCCCTGCTCTGCCACTGGCTTCCTGTGTAACATCAGGCAAGTCATAAAGCCTCTCTGAGCATTAGTTTCCCATCTATAAAATGGGGATAGTAGTACTGCCCTACCTCACAGGGGCGTTGGGAGGGAGGTGCTCGGATACTAAGGAATGGGGTCTGGCCATATAAGTACCTAAGGCAGACAGGAACAGTTTTAGCTTGCATCTGTACTTCTACTTTTAAAAAAAAATATTAGATCTTGATAAATTTAAGTTTAAAAAACTGAATTATGCACTTACCTGCTTGTTGGTAATTTTTCAGATGATCCATAGTCAACAAATTCAACCAAAATATTAACAGGGTCAAATTCTTTAATAGAGAGTAGTTTTGCTCTATACCACAAGCCATCACTGTATTCTGCCAGGCAAGGCATTTCTGTAAGAAGGAAAAAGCACGCTATTTAATCCAAAATTTAGCACATACGCTATCAGGGCTGTAAAACAATTTGTATTATACTATCAAGTTTTATTTTCTGTCCTCTAATTCATGTTTTTTTTAAATAGAATCCATACTTTTTAAAAAAAGACACACAGTAACTGGAAAAAAATTAAATGAATTTAGAAAGGAATGGTTACTTACCTTATAGCAAGTGAAGACTACTTACTTGTAACGGGAGTTCTTTGAGATGGACTCTGCATAATTAATCATGGGATGCACTGCAGGAACAGGTTTCAGAAAAAAGAACAGGAGTACTTGTGGCACCTTAGAGACTAACAAATTTATTAGAGCATAAGCTTTCGTGGGCTACAACCCACTTCTTCGGATGCATATTGAGTGAAACATATCGAAGAGATATATATACACACATACAGAGAGCATGAACAGGTGGGAGTTGTCTTACCAACTCTGAGAGGCCAATTAAGTAAGAGAAAAAAACTTTTGAAGTGATAATCAAGGTAACCAAGTACAGACAGTTTGATAAGAAGCAAGTGTGAGAATACTTACAAGGGGAGATAGATTCAATGTTTGTAATGGCTCAGCCATTCCCAATCCCTATTTAGCCCGGAGTTGATTGTGTCTAGTTTGCATATCAATTCCAGCTCAGCAGTCTCTCGTTGGAGTCTGTTTTTGAAGTTTTTCTGTTTTAAGATAGCCACCCGCAGGTCTGTCATAGAATGGCCAGACAGGTTAAAGTGTTCTCCCACTGGTTTTTGAGTATTATGATTCCTGATGTCAGATTTGTGTCCATTAATTCTTTTGCGTAGAGACTGTCCGGTTTGGCCAATGTACATGGCAGAGGGGCATTGCTGGCACATGATGGCATATATCACATTGGTAGATGTGCAGGTGAACGAGCCCCTGATGGTATGGCTGATGTGATTAGGCCCTATGATGGTGTCACTTGAATAGATATGTGGACAGAGTTGGCATCGGGCTTTGTTACAAGGATAGGTTCCTGGGTCAGTGTTTTTGTTCAGTGATGTGTGGTTGCTGGTGAGTATTTGCTTTAGGTTGGGGGGTTGTCTGTAAGCAAGGACAGGTCTGTCTCCCAAGATCTGTGAGAGTAAAGGATCATCTTTCAGGATAGGTTGTAGATCTCTAATGATGCGCTGGAGAGGTTTTAGTTGGGGGCTGAAGGTGACAGCTAGTGGTGTTCTGTTATTTTCTTTGTTGGCCCTGTCTTGTAGGAGGTGACTTCTGGGTACTCGTCTGGCTCTGTCAATCTGTTTTTTCACTTCAGCAGGTGGGTATTGTAGTTTTAAGAATGCTTGATAGAGATCTTGTAGGTGCTTGTCTCTATCTGAGGGATTGGAGCAAATGCGGTTATATCTTAGAGCTTGGCTGTAGACAATGGATCGTGTGGTGTGTCCTGGATGGAAGCTGGAGGCATGTAGGTAAGTGTAGCGGTCAGTAGGTTTCCGGTACAGGGTGGTATTTATGTGACCATCGCTTATTAGCACAGTAGTGTCCAGGAAATGGACCGCTTGTGTGGATTGATCTAGGCTGAGGTTGATGGTAGGATGGAAATTATTGAAATCATGGTGGAATTCCTCAAGGGCTTCTTTTCCATGGGTCCAGATGATGAAGATGTCATCAATGTAGCGCAAGTAGAGTAGGGGCGTTAGGGGACGAGAGCTAAGGAAGCGTTGTTCTAAGTCCGCCATAAAAATGTTGGCATACTGTGGGGCCATGCGGGTACCCATAGCAGTGCCGCTGACTTGAAGGTATATATTGTCCCCAAATGTGAAATAGTTGTGGGTGAGGACAAAGTCACAGAGTTCAGCCACCAGGTTAGCTGTGACATTATCGGGGATACTGTTCCTGATAGCTTGTAGTCCATCTTTGTGTGGAATATTGGTGTAGAGGGCTTCTACGTCCATAGTGGCCAGGATGGTGTTTTCTGGAAGATCACCGATGGATTGTAGTTTCCTCAGGAAGTCAGTAGTATCTCGAAGATAGCTGGGAGTGCTGGTAGCGTAGGGTCTGAGGAGAGAGTCCACATAACCAGACAAGCCTGATGTTAGGGTGCCAATGCCTGAGATGATGGGGCGTCCAGGATTCCCAGGTTTATGGATCTTGGGTAGCAAATAGAATGTCCCTGGTCGGGGTTCTAGGCATGTATCTGTACAGATTTGTTCCTGTGCTTTGTCAGGGAGTTTTTTTAGCAGATGGTGTAGTTTCTTTAGGTAATCCTCAGTGGGATCAGAGGAACAGTTCACTAAGAGACTGACCTACAGAGGTCACAGCAGAGAGGCAGGTGGCAGCAGAAGGTAATTGACGGGCGGCTGGCGAAAGTGGCAAGCAGTTGGCTGGCAGGGTAGCCAGGCAACAAGGAACAGCAGACTGGCAGGGCGGCCAGGAACCACAGGTGGCGGGGCGGCCAGGCGGTGAGGAACCGAGGCTGGCAGGGCAGCCAGTGGAGAGGAACTGTGGCTGGCGGGGTGGCCAGCCAGAGCAAGTGCTCAGATGAAGGAGCAAGCAGGGTGCCTTCTTCCCTGGGTAGGAGGTAAACTCACACAGATGCACCTCTGAACCCTGGGTCCTCACTGACCAAGGACAACCACTGTGAATGGCGTATGGTGAGCGAGTAGAGGAGAGCACAGCAAAGGGACTTTTGGTTGTAGAACTCAAGAACATGAGGCAGAAGAGACTGCCCCACGCACTCTGGGATGGGTGTTCTGCTCAGAGTTTTATGTTTATGAATCCTGCTTGTGGCATTTTCCCTAATGGATGTTGCGTGACTTCCCTCCTTTCATTAAAAGTTTCTTTTCTACACTCAGACTCTGTGCTTGCAAAAGGGGAAGTGTTACCTCTCAGAGGCGCCCAGGGGTGGTATGTAATTTTCCCAGGTTACTGGGTGGAGGCTGAAGCCAGTTCTGTGTTGTATTGTTGAAAAGAAACCCCTAGATATTGAACCCGGCCCTGGTTGCTGCCGGCTTCACCTGGCAGAAGGGTTACATGTACGTCTGACATGTCACAGTTGCTAAGACAGCCATGCAGTGCCCCACATGGCTGGGGCTTCCACTGTCAGCCCAGGGTAGGCTGGGACTCTTGCTGTCCCCTTTAGCCCCTTTCCCTGACTCACAGGTGTACACAGCCCTGTTGCATGAATCCAAGCCGCCCAGGGCTGACAGTTGAAGCTCTTAAAAAGCACACAGCTCGCGCCTCCCTTGACACATTTCCGTGCGCCCCAAGTTTGAGAACCGCTGAGTTAAGGCAATAATGCAATGAGCCTACAAGTCTCAAGGCCTGTAAAAAAAATCTTAGCTAAACTAATTAAGGCATAAGCCCCAAAAAGCCTTATTGTAAGTATAACCAAAAGTGATCTTAAAAGATCATAAGTTAGCACAGCATAGACTGCCACAAAGACTAAACTGCTGGTAGGTACCTACAAGTTGCTATTTATAGCAGCTTGGAATATTTTTAGTTCGGGAAGTCAGCAGATCTCTGACCACAAGAATGCCGTGGTTATTGATGCATATGCTAATAAGCTTGAGGTAAAAGGATGAATAACCTATGGGAGAAGAGCATCCCAGCATTAGTAGGGTGAGGAAATACAAATAAGGGGAGAACCTCCTACTGAACATGCATTAGGCATAGTGGCCTCAGCATCACACATTATAAAAGTTGTATCCCAGTCTGTGTGCTTTGAGAGGGAGGGATGAAGTCCCTGGGAGATGCCAAGATGATGATGGTGATGAATAAGATAACTCAGACTTTGAGGCCAGAAGGGACCATCATGATCATCTAGTCCAGGGTTTCTCAACCCGTGGGTCAGGACTAGTGACACCAGATAGCAAGTTTGAAAAATCGGGATGGGGGCGGAGGGTAATAGGCACCTGTATAAGACGAAGCTCTGAATATCGCGACTGTCCCTATAAAATCAGGACATCTGGTCACTCTAGTCAGAACCCAAAATTGGGTCACCAGAATGTTTCAAAGGGTCACACGGCAGCTCCTGTGACTTCTGTCTCACAGGGCTGGCTGGGCTCGCCTACCCAGCTCCAGGCATTGTGATCTCTGGAGTCCCAGCACCACTCAGGTTTGGCCCAGCCATCATGATGATGGGAGTCCGGTTAGGCCAAATTTGAATGAGTGGCACTGCAACTCCATGAGCTAGGTCACACCACCACTCTCACAAATTTGGTGCAGTTGGGGGGAGGGCAAACTGGAGCAGCACTGCAACCCCAGTGGTTGCAATACCCTGAGCTGAGAGCCAAGACCAGCCAACTCTACAGCACAGGAGCCACCACTGTGGGGTGAGTGCTGGGCAGGACACCCTCCTCCCACCCCCCGGGAGGCAGGACCTGACCAAAACCACCCAGGGACTCCACCCCCAGACTATTTACTGGGTCGCGACAGGCCATAAAGAGTTACAAATGGGTCCTGAGCCAAACAAGTTTGAGAACCATTGATCTAGTTTGACCTCCTGCACATCACAGGCCACAAAACCTCACTCACCCCCTCCTGTAATAGACCCATAACCTCTGGCTGGGTTACTGAAGTCCTCAAATCACAATTTAAAGACAAAGTTACAGAGAATCCACCATTTATTCTAGTTTAAAACAGCAACTGACCTGTGCGCCATGCTGCAGAAGGCGGCAAAACCCCCCCATGGTCTCTGCCAATCTGACCTGAGGAAAAATTCCTTCTTGACCTCAAATATGGTGATCACTTGAACCCTGAGCATGTCGGCAAGCCCACCAGCCAGACACCTGGGAAAGCATTCTCTGTAGTAACTCAGAGCCCTGCCCATCTAGTGCCCCATTTCTGGCCACTGGGGAGTTTTGCTATTAGCAGTCACAGATGGGCCACAAGCCATTGTAGGCAATCTCATCATACCATCCCATCCATAAAACTTATCAAGCTCAGTCTTGGAACAAATTTAAGTTTTTTGTCCCCACTGCTCCCCTTTGGAGGCTATTCCCAAACTT